GCTACATTGTAAATCACAAAAATGAAAAAGAATGTAAAAGAACATATTATTAGGTATGATTTATCAATATACCGTATATAGGACGTACTGTGTAATGAGTATAATATTGTATAATATTAATGTATATTAAAGTAAAAAATATATTTCATATACTCTATGGCAATCGCCTGCTGTTGTCGACATTCGTCTGAGACGTTTAACGATTCTAATATAATTTCAGTGAACAAAAAAAATTGTATAAGCCAACAATAGACGGACAGTTCGTCAAGCTGCAAGTATAATATATTATAATAAATTGTAAGTTATAACACGAACTCACACAATACGTTATGTTCACTGGTTCAGGTTATTTTCATAAAATGTTCGATGCTTTCAAGATTCAGTTCGGAGTGAGATGAAGACGGACGAAGATAGCTATTTCTTCGGCGACGGTTCACGTACTGCGCACATCTGCACCCTAGACATGGCACAGCTAGGAGCCTAGGTTAAACCGGAATAGTCGATGTTTAAGCGTAAGTTTTCATATGACTTTGAGACACAAAGCGGTGTGTAACCTGACATTTCAGCCAACTCTTAATATTTGGTGGTTTTTTGATGATTCATTTCATTTAATTATTATACAATTTTCGTACTCAGTCGAAGCATAATTATTTTAGATTCTGAGTGAAACGATGAATGTATTGATTTTACAATGATGTGTGTTTTTTATTTTTTTTTTGTGTCTGTCATCACGTTTTAGGACAGTAAAAGTGCTTGGATTTTCTTCAACAGTAGCTTTTCTGATAGGAAAGTGAATCTAGTTGGTACTTTGGGGGTCAAAAGTAAAAATTTCCCAGTAGTTTTCACAAGCTCCGGGAAAAACAACATAAAAATTAAGGAAAAACGGGAATTTTTACGCAAAATCGGTTTTCCAAAAAATTGATTTTGGTTTTTGGTGTAACTCTAAAAGAAATGAACGTATATACATGAAATGTTCACTGGTTGTTTATATTTGCATTTTCTATACACGATAACATTTTCAAAATATTTTGATTTATTTTGAACTGTTTAGGGACATTTTCATTTTCCATTTTTTTTTAGTTTTTTTTCTAGAAATATCAATGAAATTTTATTTGTTGGTTGCGAAAGCTTGAAAATGTAATAGAAGGCTCCTAGTATATTGTTTCAAAGGCAGATGAAAAATATTAAAAATCCTGTCACAATTTTTTTTTATAAGCATTTAAAGTTCAAAAATTGACAAAATATGGAAAAATCACGAAAATTAGCAAATTATTTTGATTTAAGAATTCGTAAAAATTTTTCTTTTTAAATCTAAGATGTGAAAATGTAATACAAGATTCCTTATAAGATTATCTACCTTTATCAAAAAATGTCTATAAGAAAGTCAAATTACATTTTTATGAGCGTTTGAAATTCAAATTTTTACAACATTGGATATTCACTCGATTTCTCATGTAGCGATTTCCTTATTTTGTTGTAATTCAAAAACGAATAACTGTAGATACATGAAAATTTTATTGAATGTTTATATTAGCATTTCCTATACACCATACAATTTTGAAAATATTTTGACTCTTTTTGAGCTGTTTACGGACATTTACAGCTTTCAATTTAGTTTTTTTTTCTATAAATATCAATAAAGTTTTATCTGTTGGACCAAAAAGTGTAAAAATTTAATACAAGGCTCCTGATATATTGTTACAATATCAGTTGAAAAATATTAAAAATACATAGGCACAGTTTTTTTTTATAAGCATTTAAAGATCGAATTTTGACAAAATTTATCAAAATCTTGAAAATGATCAATCATTGTGATTAATAAATTATAAAATGTTCAGTTTTTATAGCTAAGGATTGCAAATTTAAAACAAAGGTTCTCATAAATAGTTCATACTGTAACCAAAAAATCTAAAAGATATATGAACACAGTTATTTTTTACAGACATTTTAAATTCAAATTTGGACGAAATTACATATTAAAAAACCTAGAATAACTATTTTAGTTATTTTGTTGTGATTGAATAATATTATTCGTGGGCACTTGAAACTTCTAAAGTGTACTATATATCTATGATAGTATCACGGTTTTTGTTGATGTATAACGCGTTATAAGTACCTAAGGGATATTGTGATATGATTAATTTGGAATTTATTATAGCCTATAGGTACCTACTACCTATTATAGGTCAAATTTTGGTTTAGTACCATAGATATATATTATCTTATATCTAGGCTGACATACTGTCTCCGCTCAGAATCGTTTTTCTGATACAATGCTATTATATCGTTGAATTCAAATTTAATATCATCCAATATTATACGGTGACCCACTTGTAACCTACTGTACAGCAGAGCGACACCCACTTGCCCACCTTTTTATTTTTACAAGATATTTACAATCTATTCATACATAGAATAATAAGCAAATAAAGTATAATTATAATAGAAGATAATATTGTATATAGGAATTAGGTAAATTAATTATGTTGTATCTGAAGTTAAATCCTGGAGTCACTGATATCAGATGACATAGGACTGAAAGATCAAAGAATAAAATTTAGGTACGTTATAGAGTTCATATGATCAAAATATTATTTATTTCTCAATACAGAAATACCAAAATTCCACAGCTTCACTGGAACATTTCTTTCACTCCCTAACCCAGTTCAACACTGAATAGTGTGTACGATTAGTACAGCACTTTCTATGCTCAATGATATATTATTATGGATACATCAAAGAAATTTGTTTGGATGTTAATTTACTTTGTGATTTTCAAACTTCATCATGGAATACAGACAATACCATACTCAAGTAGATTTGTAATTGACAGCCAACTTTGAACAGGGGCTTCACCACAAGACAGGAAAACTGATGGTACTCAGTAGGAGCGACAAACAGGCGTTTATATGAATGGAGTATAATAACATAATTTATTATTATATTCTAAAAATAAAATAGCATTTTAGGCTGAATGTCAACAATCGTAGACTCAAATGTGGTCATCCCCATGACATCTTAATTTACTTACTATAATTGTATATATTTATTTTGTATAATTTGAGAGATAAATCTCCAAAGAAAGGTTGTCAGGATTCTGGATTACAAACAAGTAGTAAACACTTGCTAGAGTACTAGAACGGTTTATGGTAACTAATATCTATGTTGTCTAAGCGTAAAGAATAATTATAAAAACACATTATGTACAGCGGTTCGTCCACGGACACACGTTGTGCCCAGTGGTAACGGCGAAACCTCTAGATTACGGCTTTTAAGTAAAGAGGAACTATAACATAATGAACACGGCTTTTGAGTAAGTAGGAACTGTCATAATCGCAGTTAGGAGCAACAGTGTATGGCGGCAACAACAAAAAAGTGCAAATATGAAGGCGGAAGCCGGTAAAGTAGGATAGTCAAAAATATAGCTTTGTAATGAAAAATAGGTATTCTACTGTACATTTCAAAATCCATAATTCTTACTTAATTGTCATCTGATATACAAAAATGTCAAAAATTTTAATTCTATATGCCTAAGTTTGGATGATAAATGTCAGGACAACTATAAAAAATAAATAAATCACAAAATAAATGCTAATTTATTAAAAGAGATAAGTATGTCATACATCATTAAAAAGCTTAAATAGAAAAAAAAGTAGACATTTTAATTCAATTTTGTAAAAATAGAAGACAACTTTTATTAAACAATATTCATTATTCTTTTCTTGCTTAAATGTTTTAAAAAGCTAAATTTTTCCTCTTATTCATTTTGCTATTCCCAGTCAATATAATCAATACATTTGATATTTACAATATATTTGTCTTACTAGTTTTTACTATGAAATAAAAAGATTAAAGATTTGAAAAACATATTTATGATAAAAAAAAATTGTATAATATAAAAGTAAGCATTGATATTCATGTTAAATTCTTCAACAGTATCAATATTCTGAAAAAAAAAAAAATTGTAAATTATAAATTTTTATCAGGTATTTTCCGAGGTTATTTCCATAGAAATATGAAGATTTATTAATCATGACTGAAATTGTACGGAGTAAATATTAGGTAATTGAATAGACCAATAAAACACTTTATAATAATTAGGGTATATATTTTTAAGATTTTGGAAACATGGTTTTAATTATGCTTTTTCTTGAACATTTGTATTGATATTTGTAAAAAAATTGACAAATTCATCAGGTACATTGTTAAAGAATTTATTTTTATTGTTTTAATTTATTCATAAATTATGCAAAAAATTCAAAATTCAAAATTCAAATATAAGTAATTTTTTCTCACAAAAATATTCAATTTAAACTTTTTCCTGTAAACCGAGTCAAACAAATCATTCATATTTTAGTTATAACATCATTAAAAACTTATAAAAACAAAAGAGGCTAAGCTCGACAAAGGGTTAGTACAGGAGATAACCAACATCAACTTTTTATCAACATACAAGCGGTAGTATTTTACTGACCATTTAATGTGATATTTTATTTTTCGGGGAAGCGACTTCTAAATATTACGTGAGATAATCAACACACGGTGATCAGATAATACTATTATTGTTTATCTAACAAAAATTTTTAATTTTGAAGCAGTTGACATAATAAAAAAATTGAGGTCACTAAAATGATGATATTTAAAAAGTAGTTATTAATTTATTCTATTTTTTGTTCATTGGTCTCAAGCCTGGCAACAGGGCATTAGCCGTAAGATGGTACTGTAGGGTTTTTGGTAAGGTGGGGAACGGTTGGAGGAGCACGTTTTTGTGTTTGGCAGAATTAATGTGGGCACCCGTAGGTGTCTGCCATGCCCGGCATTGGTGCGCGTTGCAACTGATACCTTAGTCCGCTTGGCCACTCCATCCCCCTAATTCATTGTTTTATTTTAATGCTTATGTACATTATAGGAGAATGTATATTGAATATTTTAAAATAAAATATAGATAATTTCACGACTAATAGAAAAATACACACTATATCTAAGTATGGGTAAACTTACTAAAGTTGTTCACATATGGAGTTTAAACAATTTCTATTTGGACGGATTGAAAACCTTGGGCTTTGTGGTACAGTAATAGGTCTTCCAGATTTTCTTATTAACACTGGCTTATATTTTTTGATAGGTTCTGGTTTATGAATAGTTTGTTGTCGCATATTTTTGATCAAATCCATTTCTTTTCTTTTCATTTCTTCTTGTCTCTAAAATATAATAATCATAAATTAAGTTTAATATAATAATAATATATAGAGCAGCACTATCACCATTCTTGTATTTTCTTCATACTGTGAAAACTTCTCCTTTATTTCAAGTTCAAAAACCATCCATTCTTGAGCTCGTCTTTCTGTGTTTAAACGTATATTTTTTGGTTCAGTATATTTTTTTTCATGCTTTGGAACAAATGGTTTTTTTTTTAAGACAGTAGCTGGACGGGCTTTAAATGACCACTGTTGCTCTGTACCTTTCACACTCTATAAATAACAATAAAAAATATTATATTTCTCGTCATTATTTCATAGTATTAGTTTTTATTAATATTATTATACTTGAGGTTTAACAGCAAAAGATCTACGAGATTCAAAACTAAATGGTTTTGGAATGGTATGCAATTGTTTTTCAAGAACTCTAATACCACCATGAGCCAGTTCTTTGTTTTCAACCACCTGAACTCCATCCTGAGAGTTGAGAACTTTTATTTTTTGAGGTTTGTTTGGCTAAAAAATATAATATAATACGTTTACAGCATATAGTGTTAAATGACAATTAATTTACTTACCACTTTGATACTGCTTGAAGGAATATTTATGTTTAGGTTATTAGAAATCTGTTTGTTTTCAGTACTGCCCCTAAATTAAATTATACACTGATAAAAAAAAACAAAATGCAAAATGTTTCAAATAAAAGCGCTTACTGTGGTGTTGGTTTATTTTCTATAATGTTATTAGTGTTATTTGAGCTAATACTTGGCTCGAAAGCACCAGGGAAAAGCCTTCTAGATCTGAAAACCTTTGAACCTAAAACAAGTTAAAATTATCAAATCGATCACATTTAGTTAAGGTATTTTATATTTTAATTGCTGTATTACTAAATTTAACTATTTTGTGGCATGCATTAGAAGATGATTAACATACAAAAAAATTTCCAAATAAATAATAAAAATGCAAAAAATAATAATAGTGACATATATATTTTTATGAAGCAAGTACCTGTTACGAAACATAAATATGAACTACCTACAACAGAACTGTATGGGCTAATAGAAAGCAAGAAGACTATAAACGAGCACCGGATGAAAGTGACTCACCAGCTGAGACAGTGGGTTTAGAATGAAACCTAGGCGGTGTGTTGTTGAAGAAATTCCTGACTTTTTCAGCAATACTCATGAATTTTTTTGAACTTTTATCTAATATAAGATTATCTTGCGAACCTGATTTAATGTGTTCATATTTGTACTCAGATTTAACAACAGAACGAGTACGTAAATCTAATTTAGGCGTGCTTTCCAATTCATCTAGTCTGGTAATCATGGCATGATGTTTGATCCGCGGCAACTCTAGTTCAATTCCTTCCACAGTAATTGAGTGTCTATTATGTAATTTTGATGACCTTGACTTCTTTGCAGAACGAATTAGCTGATAAGCCAATGAACTATTAAAATATAACTTAATATAAGTATTTATTACATATTTTGTGAAGACTTATATTCAATATTGTATTAGAATAATTTAATAATTTGAAAATAAGAAAAATTATTAAATTATGCAGTACCTAAATGATTTCAAAAAAGTAGGTATAAAGTACCAATTGCATTTCAATTAATAAAGTACAAGAAAGATTTGATAAGTAACATATTTACTTGATATTTCGATCATCAAACTGATCATCAGGTGAACAATTTTCTTTATTTTCCTCTGGAACATCATTGTCATTCACTGTTGATTTTTTGACAATTCCCAAATTAGGTTCAGATTTAGCACCTTCCATTTTTTCGACATAATCTAATAAAAAATACAATTTTTACTAATCAAAAACTTATGTTCAGGTTAATACCCTAATCTTTCAATATATATAAGAAATATGCAAGGCAATATTCAGTAATACTAATATCTATCTAGAAAAATAATAAACAACAACAAAATGAGAAAGAATTATAATTGATGATTTTGAAATTATTAAATATTTTAAAATAGATAGGTACTATTACTAAAATAATGTATTGCATCAAAACCTCCAAAAAGAAAATTTACCACAATAGACAAAAATGTCTATAATTACTACTAATATTGTGATTTTTCGGATAAGAAATAAGACAGTTTCTAAACACAATAATACTAATAACCTATGCAAAAAGGAAAACACTGGTTCTGAGAATAAAAAATGTCAGCAGTCATGGACACGTTTTAAAATTTTCAGCTCACCACCACAGTTGTAGTAACAACTAACAAGCATTTGATCAGCAATTGACTATTAGAAGCTCTGCTATACTCTGTTCTACATAAGAGTGAACAACTCGACGTTTTTTCAGCTCATTCCCACCATAATCCGGACATCGGTGAGAGTTTGGGGCGCCCGACGATGACTGGACAATCACAGAAAGCATAGCCATTGCATGGGGAGTCAGGCACTGTTTGGTGGCTCAGTCTGCGTACACAAAAGCGGTTCACTCTTATGTGGAATAGAGTATACCCTAGTCACACCAGCTGTTGCATCTTGGTGGGAAATGCATATTGTTTTCTCTATTTACATCAATTTGCTTATGTCTTTACATTTTTAAAATTTTGCTTAAAATTGGGAGTTTTCAAAATTAATTTGGCTCTCCAAACATTTTTCGAAATGATCAAAACAATATTTTATTTTTTTTTATAGATAAATCTTTCCTTTTGTTCCATGTAAAGTAAGAAAAATTGTTGAACAGGAACTACAACAATTTTCTTAACGTCAGGATGTAAGTATATTGATAATACTGAAAAGTTCAAAGATACCATTTAATTGTATAGGTATCTAATAGTTAATACTTATACCAGTTGTAACATAATCAGTCTGAAAAGCTATAAAATCGATAAAAATGTTTATAAAAGCGATTCAATCATCCAGTACATATAGATTCTAATAAAAGGTCGATTTAATTTTCGTAACATAAGATTTGGTTTTGGTTTGTCTTTTTTGATTCAAATAGGTAAATGGTTAGTTCTATAAACCAGTGATCACTAATCACGTTAAGCAGAACTTACTGTATAAATTAAAATAATGATAAACAGAAAAACATAAAAATGATAGATAGGTCCTAGGTATATTTCATTATGAAAATTAATACATTTTAAACAACGAACATTATTATAATTTATATTACAGTACCTAGGTATGTAGGTAAAAAAAAACTGAAATCAAATAAAAATAGAAACTGTAAGTTGTGGTATGTCTTAGCACTAGTCACCACTAGTGGCTAAAGCGGGAAGACGCAGGACTCAGCCTACTACCACTGACGGTGGTTAAAAAGCGTCCCCTTTAACAAATTAGGATTTTATACATTAGACATTATACATAAAATTATATATGGAGACATTAGTCCACTCTGGAATTTTTTTCCCACTTTAACCCCTGGTCACCATACTGTCTTAACACACTGTAACTAAAGGATTTAACTAAAATTATTAGTAACTACTTAGCCAGAAATTATATTAAGTCGGTTTTGAAACTATTATAAACACCTAAAAGTGATGGTTCTAATATTATTACCTACCTGTCAGTGGCGTATCCAGAATTATTTTACGGGGGGCCGATCAACTTTTATACTTTTATACATTAAATAAGTACTACCACAGATAGATAGCTGAAAATGTTAATACCTACTTATTGATAAATTTTTAAATATAATGCAAGACTTTTTGAGCGACTATCATAGACCATAAAAATAATTTTTTAATTTTCTTAACATTTCGGAGGGGGGACTGCCTCCCCACCCCCTCCTTATATTATATAATATACCTACTTGTCTATTATTGTGTGGGTATTTTAATAGATTATCTCAAGTCATATTATACTAGTTACGAGTATTATCGTTGATAAACAATATTTTATATTAACGGACACAAACAGCCACCGACAACTTCAAGTAGTTCGTTCGAATCATAAGACACTTAGATCTTAGAGTTTTTGATAAGTTTAAAATAGATACTATAACGAAAAAACTATAATATGCTTTCCTTCAGGAAGTATGACTTTACAAGGTTCCTCGAAAAATATACTCTGCCGGACTTACCAAAAATTCTGTCAGCACCGTCGTAATTGGCGTTTGCAATCTCGTATAGGTTGACGAACGTCTTGGGTGCGTCAAATTCGAATAACTCGTCCGTGTTCATGGTAATGACTTTGTTATCTTGAATACTTACCTACAGAAACGCCTGTAGACACTTCGGCTACGGCGACGATGTATAAATGTTCAAAATACAGTAAGCAACGTTTAAGAGTCTTACACTTTTACAATTTCACATATAAACTATAAAGCAAGACACTCCGGTCTCCACTCTCCGATGGAAAATGGAAAACGGAAATCCCGTCAGTGGTCAGTTTATCAATTTGTTCGTTTCACTATAAAGAATAAATTATAATTGGTCGTTATTCCGAACGTTCGAAAAAGTACCCGACACTCAATTGGTCGTCAGTACGCACTGCTGCCAACAGACGCGCGTGATTTTAACGGTTCGCCGCGGTGACAAGGAGATTACTCAATCATCGTTCGTAGATAATGGATTGTGGATATGTGCGCCATTCCGCCACAAAACATTTTGTACAAAATTCGTGCTGAATACACAATCACTTCTTTATCTATGTACACAATAATTTACATGTCAAATTATATTATAATTATATCACGATATTATGTAGTATGTACCAACTACCAGTGTACCACTTAATATCTCAAATGAGTGACTTTGTATTGAAATGGGGTCGTCGGGAGGTGATAGGGAGCACTTAAATACATATTTCCAGACCAGTTTCAAATTTTTAGCTCACTCGGTACGCGCCTGCGCAATACGACTACTTTTTTTTAAATGACAACCCCAGTTTTTTCTGCAGATTCGGGTGGAGTAGTTTTTTTTAAACATTTATTGTATTAAAAGTTTTTTTCTATTTTCAAAACTGACCAAGTTAGAGTAAGTCAAAAATCGGATTTATGAATAATATTCATGTTTAATGATATTTAAATATTTTCATTTATAACCACTGGAAATAATAAAATAAGTGTGAAATAATTAAACATTATTTTTATTGTATGATATTTTGTCAACTGTATTAATTAAATGAACAACAAAATAGTTATAACTTAAAATGATAATAATATAGTAATAGTAATATTATAATAAAAAATAAAATGTACTAAATACATTTATCGAATGAATTGTTCAAAATTTTCGCCATTATGTTCTAAACATGATTTCAGTCGTCGTTGCCGCCTCGATTTAGTCCTCACATAAAACATCACATGCTGTTATACATATTTGCTGTTATCATACACTAAAAATAATGTTTAATTATTTCACACTTATTTTATTATTTCCAGTGGTTAATAAATGAAAATATCATTAAACTGTTTTAATCTAAACACGAATTATGCATAAATCCAATTTTTGACTTACTCTACCTTGGTCAGTTTTTAAAATAGAAAACTGAACTAGAAAACTTTTAATACAATAAATGTTTAAAAAAAAATACTCCACCCGAATCTGCAGAAAAAACTGGGGTTGCCATTTAAAAAAAAGTAGTCGTATTGCGCAGGCGCGTACCGAGTGAGCTAAAAATTTGAAACTTGTCTGAAAATATGTATTTAAGTGTTCCCTATCACCTACCGAAAACCCCATTTCAATACAAAGTCACCCATCTGAGATATTCAGTGGTATCTAAAATCGTAATCACACTATATATATATTTATATAAATATATATTTGATTTGTCATGATAATTTACTATTTACTACAATATTATAGTGTTAAAGTATTTAGTATTTACTATTTAATATTCAGAATTTAGATGTAGGCAGTAGGTAGTTATCAGGTATATACATTGTATACCGCAAACGCCATGTTTGGTGGAAGTGGAACAGTGTAAGTAATAATATACTGTACTGGGATAAAATTGTATTTTCATTTTTTTTTGTTTTCCACATTATTATAGGTACTTTAAGTATTAATAATTAATATATTTTTTTTCAAGTGCCGCTATTCGCTACGGCTATTCGTTTTTGAATTACAAGGAAATAAGAAAACTGTACCTTGGGAAAATAAAATAAAATAAAATAATTATTTCGACAACTTATCGTATAGATACTTAGACACAAAATAAAAAACACACATAATTGTAAAATCAATACTTTCATTCCTTCGCTCAGAATTTAAAATGCATAATGTCATTAAAAACGTAAGAAAATTAAAAAATACCTATACCTATTGGCTATTACCTATAGCAAGTAGGTAGGTATAGGTAACCTATACGACATGCCTGTATAGACTATTTAGGTACAGTATATAGATTCTAGGCGCCCAGGTATACAGAGTGATTTTTTAAACACGCTCACCCTCATGTTTCCATTTAATAGTGTATATATTTAAATTATGATTTTAAAATGTTGAATACTAATGAATACTATGAATACTAATAGTATTTATAATCAATGGGCATACTGTGTAAAAAGTTAAAAATCTCTGATAATACAGTACATATACGATATACCTAGGTATATATCATTTTTTTTTTTTTTTTTACAAGTGATAAAATAATTAATATTATTTGAAACAGAGGGGTGACCCCCTATGGGCACCCACAAATGTATTGATTTTACAAAAATGTGTGCTTTTATATTTTATTTGCATTTTGTGTTTGCTATTATCTATTATATAGAACAGTAAAAATGGTTCGATTTTCTACTTCAGCAATCAGCATCTTTACATATAGAAAAGTGAATCTTGTTGGTACTTTAAACTTTTGTTTTATCAAATTGTTGGGTGAAAGCTTAAAAGTGAAAAATGTCCAATAGTCTTCAAAAGCGTCTTGAAAAACAGAAAAAAAATGAATAGGTAGGTATTATATTTTTTTTATATCTGCTATACGTGATATGCCTATAGGTACACAATAACATTATAGTAGTAGCAACTTATACAATAGGTATAGACGGTATAGTTTAACTATAATTAATAGTTATTAATGTATTACCTATATATAAATTATTAGGTATGCACCTAAATAATTATGCCCCTACCTAGTACCTACTCTAGTGTTTTAGATATCTATCATCTAAAAATCCATAATTTTTATAAAAATAATCGTGTTATTAATTGTAATAGAACAAAATATTAGATATTTATATGTTAGATTAAATATAGGAATGCCGAATGATACTTTTAATATTAAAAAATTACCAAGTGAAAATATTGTAAAAAATATACATATTGTTTTCCAAAAATTGTTGTTTTGTTATGATTTAAAATTGTATAAAAAAAATGTCAAACATTGAATTTGAATGTGTCCTTCTGCTGCTAATACATTTACCGTCTAAATCAGATTCTTAGGTACGTTTCAAATGGCTGTTTATATTTCAGTTAATATAATTAATTATGTTTATATTTTATTTCACCAACCCCCCTAACCTAACCGCTATAACCACCGGGTTTTGTGCATATATTAATAATAATAATGATATTTTACTTCTTAATTTAATTTTTCTGAGCTCCAGTAACCATAATTGATGTAACTACCATTATATAATTGCAGGGCCGTCCCAAGGTTTTTCGGGGCCAGGGGCAAATTAATTTGGGGGCCCTTCGACCATAATAATAAGATATGATAAACAAAATACTTAATGAGAATAACAAAATGTTTGTAAATGTATTTTTCCAAACCTTAACCAATCAAGCTCTTTTAAATTCATGTATTGCATTACATATTTACATAATAGAATTGAATATTATTCATATTATTTATATGGATACCTATTATTCAATAAATTATTATAGCAATTTTTCATTTTCTAATACCTCGGGGTCATCAATATCACATTGTTGCTCATTTATATCATTTTGAATCAAGTTCCTACTTGACGAACACCAACCTAAATCATGTAAATTACGTTTTCCCTTTTCTTCTTTAAGTTTTTATATTATTTTTAGCCTTCCTCTTCGCAGCACCCGATAAATACACACGCTTCATTATTTTTTTTTTTTATTATTAACAACTCTAAAGTCATAAAAAATAAGTAGTGTAAAAATGTGTAAATGTAAATTCCACCAGTACCTACATATTTTTGAACTGGAAACACGTAAACTCCACTGATGGTAAAATCCACAGTCCACAGATTACAACTAATTTTAGTATAGCTAATAGCTATTATAGCTACACATCAACTTTCGACTGTACAAAACCTCACAAACATTCACTTATATTAAATTAAACAGCATTAACGAACCTAATTAAGTAATAACCTTAGAAATTCACAATCAAAAACACGCCAAAAATATTTAAACACCATCATTTCGTCATTCAAGGAAAGCAATATTATTACTATTATGCAATTCGTCAAAGCTGTATCTAAACATTATCAATCCAAATTTTAAATTTGTTTGTAAGTAATTATTTTTTTACTATTAACTATAGCTGTTTCATAGGTGAGAAATGAATAATTATAATTGTTTACATTATTGCTTTTATGATTTTTAATTGAAATTTTTTTTTTCAACTAACGTTTACTATTGATTGATTATATCTTTTATTTTAAATTTCTGTAAGACAAGTGTATAAGTAGCGACTTGTAACGACATGAAATTAGTTGAACACGATGTAAAAATTGATTGTAAAAAATTAATTTGTTGAAAAAATGGTGTCTTAAGTTAAGTGAACGCTTGGTATGCTTGTGAACCAACTTGATCTTGATGGTTATTCTTCTGTGTTACAACACCATAAATTAAACTTCTGCTCGTTCTAAAAGTCATTTTAAAGATAAACCCCATGTCAATTGCTTATAAATTAATATTCAAGTCCTTATGCAGTAAACAAAAAACAAAATTCAAGGTCATGCGTTCAGGGCCGTATTTGGGGTGGTCAATAGCCCGCCCTGGAAAACGTCAGGGCTACTATGAAAAAGTAAAACGATTTTTTTGAATATGCAATGGCAAATTATAAATCATTAATAAATATATAAATAAATTTGTGTTATATTGGTTCCTAAACTACAACTTCTGAATATCTTTTCGGTGCAGTGAACAATCTTTTTTTTAAATGATCTCTTTTTTTAATATATACTAAATTGGATATCAAAAATCCCTATAATTATACCTTGAGGCTTGTACCATATAGTATGCTATTGAAATTTTGAAGGATACCTATTATTCAATAAATTATTATAGCAATTTTTCATTTTCTAATACCTCGGGGTCATCAATATCACATTGTTGCTCATTTATATCATTTTGAATCAAGTTCCTACTTGACGAACACCAACCTAAATCATGTAAATTACGTTTTCCCTTTTCTTCTTTAAGTTTTTATATATTTTTTTAGCCTTCCTCTTCGCAGCACCCGATAAATACACACGCTTCATTATTTTTTTTTTTTATTATTAACAACTCTAAAGTCATAAAAAATAAGTAGTGTAAAAATGTGTAAATGTAAATTCCACCAGTACCTACATATTTTTGAACTGGAAACACGTAAACTCCACTGATGGTAAAATCCACAGTCCACAGATTACAACTAATTTTAGTATAGCTAATAGCTATTATAGCTACACATCAACTTTCGACTGTACAAAACCTCACAAACATTCACTTATATTAAATTAAACAGCATTAACGAACCTAATTAAGTAATAACCTTAGAAATTCACAATCAAAAACACGCCAAAAATATTTAAACACCATCATTTCGTCATTCAAGGAAAGCAATATTATTACTATTATGCAATTCGTCAAAGCTGTATCTAAACATTATCAATCCAAATTTTAAATTTGTTTGTAAGTAATTATTTTTTTACTATTAACTATAGCTGTTCATTATTGATAAATGATAATTAATAATTGTATTACATATATTTTTTATGGATTTAATTGAAATTTTTTTTCAACTAACGTTTAACTATTGATTATTATATCTTTTATTTTAAATTTCTGTAAGACAAGTTATAAGTAGCGACTTGTAACGACATGAAATTAGTTGAAACGATGTAAAAAATTGATTTTAAAAAACATTAATACTTTTTGAATAAAATGAGTGTCTTAAGTTAAGTGAATCGCTTGGTATTGCTTTTGATACCCAACTTTGATCTTAAAGATGGTTATATCTTCCAGTAGTGTTACAACACGCATAAATTAAAACTTCTGCTCGTTCTAAAAAGTCAATTTTTAAGATAAAAACCCTATGTCAAAGTTGCTTAATAGAATTAAAGTAATTCAAGTCCTTTATGCAGTAAAAAACAAAACAAAAATTCAAGGTCATGCGTTCAGGGCCGTATTTGGGGTGGTCAATAGCCCGCCCTGGAAAACGTCAGGGCTACTATGAAAAAGTAAAACGATTTTTTTGAATATGCAATGGCAAATTATAAATCATTAATAAATATATAAATAAATTTGTGTTATATTGGTTCCTAAACTACAACTTCTGAATATCTTTTCGGTGCAGTGAACAATCTTTTTTTTAAATGATCTCTTTTTTTAATATATACTAAATTGGATATCAAAAATCCCTATAATTATACCTTGAGGCTTGTACCATATAGTATGCTATTGAAATTTTGAACTTTATTATTTCATAACAAAATAAGTATCTAAATATTATTCAACTCTGAAAAAGTATTATCACATACCTACATTTATTATGAGAATAATAATATAATATAATTCAGTCTGCCATAGTAGTTTGTTATATATAATTTATAACTAGCTATATATTTATTAATCATTAGACAGTTGTTTTTGATTTTTGGTGGATACTAAATATTGAGTAAGAATACTGAAATAGGAAAAATTAATAATATGCAAGGTTGGCTCACCAAAATGTTGTTGCTCGTGGGTGGCAAAATCATAAATTCGGTCCTGCATGCATTCAAAATATTTCGCGTTACCACCATCATTGATCACACTGTATACACATCGGATAATGGTTTAAGGCATATATGCATATTATAATAATTAATAAGTATTATATTATTCACTCCAGCAGGAGTGTTCCGACGATTGTTCGGCGTGATTGATGTGTATTTCGTTACACGCCAACACGACGTACCCGTAGCTGTTGAATTTGATTTCATATTTTGTTTTTATTTCTATATTGTGATTGCCGTATTCGCCTGTTTTACCATGACAAAGTTACAAACTTACAAATAATCGCAAGAATAACAAAAATTACCAGCTGATAGATGGCTAATCATGCAAACATTTATTCAAAAAAAATCAATTTATTTGTATTTAAATTTTTTTTTGGACTCTATAGAATTTGGTTGCCTTCGAAAACTTGCCTCCTCGGGCAAATGCACAGTGCACATGCAACCACGTCATGCACTTCATCACTTTCATGCAGTGGCATATTTTTGCAGAGGGAAATCAAGGCGATCAATTTTCCCCTCCCCTCTCAAAAGACAAAAACCCTGAATACGCCACTGCCTTAATGTGCCCCCGGGGACCTGAGCCATCGGTCCGAAATACAGTTTATAAACTATTAAACTATCGCCTGTATAACATAATATTATTCATTAATATTTCAGGAAAACGAATTAGAAATTAAATTATTGGCCAAGACACCAGGTAGGTATTTACATTATATGTTCTGTGACGTCATATTATAATAATTGTCGTGAGTATAATTTACACTTGTCGACAATAATGGCGTCTGTTGCATTAAAGTTGAATTGACTTTCTCTGCGACAACGGTACGTCTTACCTACGTGTGAAGTTTACACAGTTGTAAGTATATATATATAAGTAGATTTTGGATATGCACATTTGTATCAGTTATAGGTATACCTACGTATATTAGGAAGACGCATAAAGCCATTTAGGTACCTATAGTAATAACTAGGTACTTATAGTGTTCATATATAGCTGTATATTATTACTCATATCTATATTATATATTATTATTTTATGAGAACCCTATACAGATATTATGTTGATTATTTTATAATCGTTTTCATTCATTTATTTTTAAATAGTGTTACTGGAAGTTGAGAGTCTTAAAGTAAATTATATAATAATATATAAAAGTAAGTACCTACAGATTTCTTAAAAATTGTGATATTTAATTGTTATTGTACAAGTAGAATATAGGTAAAGTTGTCTAACTATTTTCAATTTTTATTAGTGCTCATAATTGTCCACAATTTTGATAATTAATATTAAAATTTACATTATTGATCGTAATAATAGTTATTAGATATTACTATTGTTAAATCACTATCAATTATTAAAATAATTTCGTATTAAATTTAATAACGTGTAGGTAGGTATACAACTTTTCAATAAAGGAAAATAAGTTATAAACCAAAAATTGTTATTAATAACAAATTAGTAATTGTTAAATAGATACTAGGTAGATTGGCTCAGGTAATTTAGGTAGGCACTATAGGTACATAAAAAAGACTCGAAATTGAATACTGCTCATATAAATTTATTATTTCCTAAAAATGCAGCTATTTTTACAGTATTAATGATGATATAAAATATTAATTATAAAAACAATTATTTTGATTTTTAATGGCTTAATACACTAACAAGGGTTTAAAAAAAATAGTGTTTTTCAATGATAAGATGAAGGGTAATTTTTGTGTATAGGTACACATTATAATAACATGATATATGAATTTTTCAATGAAAACCAATGTTGGTTTACATATATAATAATGCTAATGATAAGAAGTATAAAACATTTTAACAACTTAATATATAAAAATAACAATATTTACAAAGTATTTATATGTACACAACATGGGTAGTCTGTGATGCGATTATTTGAAACAATTCAGTCTTCATTTTTTCTTGTACCCATCATGCCCATGAGAATCATGGTGCTCCTCGTGGTGGTGATGGTGTTCCTCTATCGGGAACCATTCGGATATCCACACGGGCTTCCAGATTTTCTTCCACGCTGGCAGCCAAATTTCTTTCCAGTCGGGTATCCAAATCTGTTTCCAATCTTCTTTCCATTCCAATTTCTTGTCAGGGATCCAGATCTCGTGTTTTTCTGTTTTCCATTCTTGTTTCCAATCTTCCTTCCATTCGAGCTTCTTGTCTTGAACCCAGATCTGTTTCTTTTCGGTGCGCCAGATCTGCTTCCAGTCTTCCTTCCACTCCAACTTCTTGTCCTTCACCCAGATCTGTTTCTTCGCGGGCTTCCAGATTTGCACCCAGTCCTCCTTCCATTCAAGCTTCTTGGATGGCACCCAGATTTGTTTCTTCACTGTCTTCCATACTTTCTTCCAGTGGACCTTCCATACGACTTTCTTCTTCCACAGGTCGTGCGCTTCGTACTCCCATCCGTGGTAGTCCTTGCCGAGGTGCTTAGATCCTGGTACGTACGCCTTGACCAACTCGGGTACATGTATCTTATGCCAGTCCGGCACCTGTTCCTCCTTCCACGCGGGTACTTCGATGTGTTTCCACACTGGCTTGTAGACCTTCTTCCAGTCTGGTACCTTCACTTCCTTCCAGGCTGGAACGTCGATGGACACCCACACTGGCTTGTATATCTTCTTCCAGTCTGGCACTTGAATTTCTTTCCATGCTGGCACCTTGATTGGCACCCATATTGGCTTGTATATTTTTTTCCAGACCGGTACATGCACCTCTTTCCAACCCTGTTTCTTCGTCGGTACCCAAATTGGCTTGTAGATTTTTTTCCATGAAGGCTTCCAGATCTGTTTCTTGCCTGGTTTCCATGTTTTGACCCAATCAGGCTTCCAGATGAGCTTCTTCTTCCAGTAGCCTTTCAGTGGCTCGTCATGGTGCTCGTGATGGTGGTCGTGGTGGTCGTCGACGCCATAACCATGATCTGGCACTCCGATGCGGCTTTGTGCGACTGCCGGTTGCCTATATATGCAGCATAAAATGACACACGTGTTAGGTACTTATGTAATATGTATATATATATATATTTATTTATAATGGGTACTATATATTCGTTACTGCAGCCATGTCATTATATAGATATAGTGAAAATTCATACCGCGGAGTACACATCAGTCTTACGATTTATTATTATTTAACATACCTATATTATGATAGTGATGATATGTCAATACATGCGCGTATGTATAGAAAATTTCTTTAACACCTATGTTTTTTCTTTCTTTTGTCTATTCATCAAAGTCTTTTAAAAACAACTATATTCCACGTGCGTTTTATGTTACAATAGATTTTCCGTGTTTGATTTCCCATATCATTGTTCGAATGTTATGAAAATTCGGCGCCATAGTCGTACGGTATATACTTATACTTATATGTATTCATGTCGTCCTTTTTATTGTCATCGTATTCGTATTGAAAGTCGTACGTGGCGGGTATCGATTTTTCACAATTTTCTCTATACATTTCGTAATTTATTCGCCAAACAATATTTATTATAATAAGAATAATAAAAGCAATTGAATTCAACAAAATAAATAAACGGGATGTCTAAGGAGATGATCGGTTTCACGTAGATTTCTCTTTGTGCCGAAAACCGATAAGGACCGTCATCTTTTAGCGTTGTTGTATTATTGTGACTTAAATGCACTTCAGAACAATCGTAAGACCCCCTAGGAGATGATAAATGTAAATTACGAGAGCTGTATTAAAAAACACCCACCTGTTATCTTATTAAAATAGTCGTTACTTAACACATGATATATGTGCTCGGTGAAAACGTACGTTTTTTACACTGGTGGATGCTAATACAATAGTTATTGATCTCAGCGGATAACACGTCGATATAAGTAGATTATTTTTTTAAATGTTTAGCGAGCTGGTTATATCATACGAAAATGCTCGTTCGTACGAATTAAGAAATCATGACATTTACACGAATAATAAATTATGGTAATCGCCACGCTCGGCACAAGTGATGTTTACAGTTTACAGTCTATATATCACCTAACCATTTCGAATTATAATTTTAAAAAGGTTTTTCATTTTTGCGATTACGTTTATATTTTATAAATTAGGTGTAGGTAAGTTTATTGTTTATTTGTTATTATCGATATAATTACAGAAAACGAGTTTGGTAAAACGTGATTTGCGTATGTAGAACGCTTGTTTCTATAATGAGCACAACAAATAATACAACAAAAAAAATGAAATGGACCCGGAAGACGGAGACAACGAATTTCCGATACTCAGATTGTAAGGTCACCAAATTTTAGCCGGATTAAAAAAAAAAATGGTACACCATATTCCTAACATATGCTTTTGACGACCTAACCTCCCTATATTAGGTATCCATAAAATAGAAGTAATTTTCCCGACCGAATGTGAGTACTTACTGCAGACCGGGTTGAGCGTAATCATTGCTCGGCGACTTTTTGTCCCGCTTGAGAGACGCTTGAGATGACGCGTCGTCGTTTGGGAAGGCCACTTGCTGTTGCGGCAAGTCGACCGCCTTTGACCAGACGAGTGTGACGTGGACGAACAGCGCCAGGAACACCTGTAGAAGAAAAAGAGGAGGAGAAAATTAGTTAAAAAATAATATCTATAGATATTTTAATTTAGTATTATACATTATACATATATATTGTGTTATATAGATTATAGGCAGTAATTTAAGCATATACGCGTTTTGTCGCTTTCACTGTTGCGCGAACGCGTGCATGTATATAGTAATATTACATATAATATGGTTTACGTCGTAGGGAAGTATATTATACAGCAGCATAAGTAGTTGACTCTCAAGTACTCTCGGGTAGGAGGCTGTTTTTTTTTAATATCCGGAAATCACGACTAAAAGTTGAACTCGACTTTCACTCGAAATAAATACTCACTTGGCGGCTGCGCTAGGTAAGATAATAATATTATTATTATATATTACAGCTATTGGTATACAAGTGCGGTACATATACAATAATATTATATTATAATAGTCGTTTCTATACAATATACAAACACAGTCACACAGATCTGCAGATCAAAGTGTATTACCTAGCTATACGCGTAATATAGATATAGATAGGGACGTTTTATCGAAGAAATATTTTAATTGAGTAGTATGGCGTATAGTTGTATAGGTATGATACAAAGCAGTGTAGCATAGTAGCTGTCCAAAATTGGGAAAAAAATCAAGCGCCGGTTAATCGTGACGTATACATCTGGTCCATAATATAATAAATTCGGAGAGTATAATAAATGGTATGGGCGTATGGCGTAACCGGTGAAAGCATCTCGGTCGAAAAGAAGCGCGTGTTTCCGACGCATTTTAATTTTTTCGTTTTTCAATGTCGCCCTTCTTTGCGCGCTGCAGTATTTTTTTAATTGCATAACGATTTTATATCCGATATAATATTATTATTATTGAATCGTATCGACATAATATGTGTATAATATAGAGGCGAGATCTGTTGTTTACGGTGAAAGTTCGGCGCTCGTAATATTATATACCCTCGGACACGCAACGGTGGGCCGCAAAGTTGAATTGAATATTATTAGGTATACAGTTTAAAGTACCACGTATATATCCGGACGACGACTATATAGTTACACTCATAACAAGCGTTATACAACTGTTATAATATATGGTTAATTTATGTCAGTGAGTGGCGACGGTGCACACTATAATATAATGGCATCGATAAAATATGTAAGAATTTGGATAATTGAATACGATCATCGGTGGAATCTCGGAATAAAATAGTACTTTCGAATATGTTTTTGAGTGAATTTCTGCATTTTGTCCGGTTCGATTGACGTGGTTTTGGTGTAACTGTAAGTATATACGCAAATCGCATATGACATATCTATATGCATAACGCTGGTGTATACATGATACATCTAGATACCTATAATCTGGTGGTGCAATGAAAAGGGCACAGGAAATACGTATATTATAAATACTAATAAATCGTCTGAAATTGTGTGGATCCGTTAACATAATATAGATTTATAATGCATTTGTTCCTGGAGGAAAATCTGTTAGCCTATATACCCGAGTTTATATTATTATAACATTATATAGGTAGACGGACTTCCGGTATGCGGAACTATCATTCGATCGACGGTCGAACCTATATAAAAAAAACACATACTACAGATGCCAAACCAGTCGCATTGACCTAAAATCTAAAAGCACCCGATCGTGTTCAAAATTAATCTTCTAAATAATACTCAAGATCACGTTTTAACAAATTGCCCTCGATTACAACTGTCAAAGTTATAATATTATATGTAAACTGTATATATATATGTGTACCATGGTACCACCTCACGCTTGTTAGTATTTATATTTATTCGCCAACATACATGTATAATATACGGGCAACGGGCGTGCTACCTAATAAGTAATAACGATAGTAAACTTCTGAAAACGCGTTTGGTAAGAATGGAAATATGATGATTTTTTTTAGTGAACGAGTTTGACAAAGGAAATTTTAAGATAAAAAATTGTTGGTAGCCTACTGTAGGGACATGTGTATGTTTACGAAATTACCAAAAAAACAAGGATGCAATAATTTTCTATCATAAATACTTGTGGAGTTTTTTGTGGCACGTATAATTAGTAAAAAATTGGATATTTTGAGAAAGATAATATGTTCAATTCTTGGAGGTGAGTGTTCAAAATTTGCACATAAAAACTCGAGGACAAAGCTTGTTCACCATAAAATTGTATTCTATACCTAATAAAGTAGTACATTTTCATAGTCGTGTTATTGACTAAAACGTACTGTGGTGAGAGAGAACTGGCACCCTAGCGTTAAAGTCTCCGGAAGCAAGCGGGAAAGTACCCGTGAGAACGGTCTCGAGCGCAGACTATAATAGCAATTTACTAGCTAGAACACTATTGTGTTGTGCGCGCGCTAGGCTCAAATATAAAGCGCTATTATTACTCTATTATTATTATTTTGTACGAAATATATTATATACATATAGGGTATACTGCTCGCACGAATCTCGGGAAATGATGTTTACACGAAGAGGATATATATTATATTATTCGAATTATATATAGGTATGTATACGAAAACGCAAAGAAGAGAAATTTTGAAATAAATATGATAAAATTATATTATAGTGTCGTGATGTTCTATTGTGAACTAAAAGAAATATATTTTAATGTGAAATCAAATCATAATTATACGCGATTGCAAGTGCGCAGCGTTACTGTAATCAAATATTTAATATCTGTTCTGTTTATACACTTCAGACGTGTCTGCACGACAAACAGATATTTACAATAGTAATTGTGGTATAATGGTGTATGTACTGTATATTATACAGACATACTTGATAGAGAATAATGAAACGAGATTTTTGAATAGCAATGAGAGGTTTTGAAAAACTTTTGACTATAGGTATCAAAACTTATGTTTGTTTTATATTATATATATTTATAATATATAATAAAATATACGATAGCAGCCAGCAGGAATGATTTTCTGGTACTTCTGCGCTTCAAAAATAAAATCACTTGTAGTTTGACTCACGATTTCCAAAAATATCAAAAAATAATAATTACATACCACTGTGACGGTGTCGTACAAATAAAAACCAAAAACTCGATGTAATACTAATAATATAATATTTAGGTATCGCACAGTATACGAAAATTAATATACAAAACGGACGGTTATTTTATTATTTTTTCCCGAAACGCATGCAAATTACTGTTGATCTTAAAACGCGAATTGAATGGATCAAATGAATTTAAATTTAAATATATTATTATTATGTAACGTAATAATAATCGATATCGTGATATAAATAAAATATGATATATTATGTATATATGTGTGTATTACTAACCACTATTTGGTGGCGATCCATAATGTTTCGTGTGCAGTGCTTGTGCGTTTGATTGTCTTTACTTGCTGCGAGCCACCACGATGTCTGCAAGTCCGTCGCCGATTGATATGTAGTAACAGACCTCCGAACCGTTTTATATCGAGTCGGTTCGCCGTTGCCGGGGCAAGGTCGTTTGTCCCTACCATATATCCTCCCCCGAAAAGAAGACCGAAAATATACGCACGCACTTTCTTCCCGCGCCGCCACTGCGGAAGGCGAATGACTTTCACGTGCGCTCGCCGCCGCCGCGATACTTAGGAGCACCGAACACACACGAAATGTGTTATTATTATTATTATTATTATTACTATCATCGTCGCCGCCGCCGCTGTGATGTGAATATTCGTCTCCGCTTTGCAAATTGTGTAATACGTAATAATCATAACTGTACGATTACAGGCATAATATACGACGCGATCGCAGCACAAGTTTAACGCGTACGCGAGTTTAAGGACGCCGCTCGATCTTTCATCAATTCGTCGTCTGCTTCTTCGATCAGTTCGCGTGGTCGAGGCACCGATCATTTAAGCGAAGACGAGTGCTATGCTCAGTCGACGACGAGTTTTCAAACGATATCTTAATATGTTACTGTAATAATAATGTTACTGTGTTCGTTGCTGCACATTATAGTACGGCATCTATATTGGCATTTCTAAGTTCAACCACGTTCAGTCCTACAACGAAATATACCATACTTACATTATACTACGTTTTTTCCGCCAGTGATTTAAATGTATTAAGATTATTCTATTTTTTCGATCCGCGGATAACGTACGTACGTTTGTCAAAATTAAAAAATTGTATATAAAAATTCACTTTTCTCTTTGAATTTCTTAAGTTTTTTTTCGAAGTGCACAGACTACTGCAGATTCATTCAGAATCATAGAATTTTATTTTATTCTTAAAGTATACAGTTCTTTTACCTATATTGCTATATATAGGACTAATTAAACAACGTACACTATTTGTCATTTGTTTAAAATTGACAGTTAAGCCAAGGTAACCATTTTAAGAGTAAAGTTATTTCAATATTGTATAGGTACCTATAAGCATTATTCATTGGATCTTTAAACGAAATAATTTGTTATACCATGCAATAGCGCATTTTTTTAGCTTACTTTTCACCTATTTCAAGTTTAATTCTATGTTTAATTTGTATAGGATAAAATAAATACATATACAAATTTCCTATATAAAATCTTTTGCTTTTAAAATATAAAAACAATTGATAGCCGCTTGTATACGATATACCTATTATTATTAATTTATTCGTAATTTCTAAAACAAAATTATATTTATTTAAAAAAACTATAATATATAACACAATATAAAAGTTAATTTTTCAAATTATATTCTGTTAAGAGTTGAACATTTAACATTTTTTAAGATTAAACTTAATTTGTTGATAATTATTCTAATTATTGTACCTACTTAAATTGATTTTATTTCAAAATTCGTTATCTCGATTTAAGATAATTTTTGCGAGATATATTTTACACATACCATGTATGTTGTTAGGTAAATCTGTTTCTAACCATCGAATAGATACATTTTAAAATACTTTAATGAGTGTTCAGATTCTCTAAATATATTCATTATTCTTAATAGAAGTTAGAATAGTTAAAAGTTATCAAAGAAATATTTTATTCTAATTTAACTAAAATTCGACAAGCTAACGTTGAACCAACCAATTACCTATATACCCATATACCCATATACCTATTACCTACTGTATGTATAATCAGCCATATTTTACAGGGGTGTCCAAACTTTTTTTGATTAAGATCTGCTGAGGGTACCTATATATTTTTTTTTAATTAATAGCAATTATTTGTAAGCAAATTAAAAAAAAAAAATTTAATACAAAACGTTAACGCGTACACAGACACACAGTTATGTAATGATGTTATTGGTTGTACAATTTTGAAGACGTTTAGGATGCCCCGGAACTATATTTCATTAGTCGTTTCGTATGGTGGTCGTATGCTCGTATATTATTATACTCCGCATCTTGTTACAAATAACCGAGTTCAAGTACCAATGCATTATTGTGCAGCGAGTTTGCGTGTATGTAATGTATAATATATATATATTGTGTGGTAAGTATATATGCAATTTTTAAGCACATTCCAGCTGTTAGGTTTAACTATAATATAATGAGCGTTTCCCGCAGACGTCGTTGAACACATTAAAAAAAATTATGCAAGTTTACGGTACAAGAAGCACATGGTCATGTACTCGAAAATATTATTAGTGGTGACTGGTGAGCATAGAATTTTAGCATCTTGGATGCGACCGATACACGCACTATATACGACGCTTAAATGTATCTTAAATAGCTTAGGCGTATGTAAGTGTACGAATTGTAAGTGACATATACCACGTCAAACAATACAATTTGCGAAACTCCGCCAGTCGTAGGTATAATATATTGAGTGTTTAATGTAATTAAAAATTATGTAAATTACGATATAAAATTTAAACATAACTATTTTCGGTTGTATCCTAGTTAGTAGTTGTTAATAATATTGTTAAAAATATATGTATACTAACATGTAAATATAACATTTGAGTATTTGACTGCCACTTTATATAATATAGTCTCTCCCTCCGTGTACTTTGTAATTTTGTACTTAAAACATTTAGTTTTGTATTTCAAACTGCATTGATTTGCATGGGAATTTGCTAAAATGATCCATACATTCTAATTACTCACATTTTAAGAGTTTGATAATATGCTTCTATGGGTTGACTAAAAATTTGTCTGCGATGTCCACGGATCATGCTGATATAATAAAACCTACATAAAAACTAAGAATAATTAACGCAATTATTACGTCTGAACCCGGTCGTCTATACTTGTCATGTAGTTCTCGCTTCTGTTTAAATGACCTAAATGTATCTTTTTTTTTTATTAGATGACCCACGGCAACATAGGCCATTGGGTGGAGGTGGAACTGTGAGTTTTGTATTATATAGGTTTGGTACACTTGTGTGTGTTGTGGCAGAATTTCTAGTGGGGCCCCCGTAGGTTTTTGCCATCCCCCGGGTGGGGGATGGCGGCACTTGTTCACCGGACATCGTGACTTGCCCGAAGAAAAATGCAGCCCAGTGGCCGATAATTGAACCGGCGACGGCTGCGCCGCAACCGACGCCTTAGAACGCTCGGCCACCTCGTCGCCCTCAAATGTATCTTGTTTACCTATGAATTACTATAACTCGTTTGGATACTGCAGTGTTTGTGTATAAATATTATGTGACCATGGTAATAACGCTATATTATTATAATACAACAATTATTATTACAATTTTCCGGATTAGCTAATAGCTATACTTACTTGTTACCTGCTAATGTAATTGGTATTTAGTCGTACACACGCATCCAATACTCCATAGTCTAGACTACACACACACTGCAGAATAGACACATATTTCCAACATCGATCCTTTTATATATTATTATATAATGATGAGAAAATATTTTGTCAACAGATTGGAATTTTCCAGAGTTTAATTTTTTGAATTTTTCGTGTTATGACAATTTTAAATTTTGTCTAGTAAAAAGTCTTTAGCTGTATGACGAATTTCGATAACAACTTCTAAAAACCTATCATTCCCCTCGAATAATGTTTAAAAATAATGTACACCTAATAATATTTTAACACTAAATTAATATATATATACATATAATAGGTATGTTTACGTCATTTAGTATACCTTTTATACGGAATTAATTGTAGGTACACGCAACACGAGTACCTAACTATGAAAAAAATACCCATTGAACAATTGCGTGGCAATATAACAGTTGCGTTCCGTGGGTAGGCATTTATTCTGAATATTGCCATATTTTTTTAAAAAACTATGTTACAGAACATATTATTATGAAAGACACATCTTGAAAGAAAAAAATAAATATTAACATTTTAATATTTACTTTATATATTATTGTATTAACTTTTTAAATATTAACTCCAATATAATGTAAAAAAATATACTTGGCGTCATTCAGATTAGATCCTTTTTCGTATTTATCTTTGGAACGTTACAACTATAGTATAATCATGCTGCCGAACAATTACGTAGATAGGTAACTACAAAAATGGTAGGTATATAACTTTTATCGCCTCTGACCCATAGGTCTACTACCGTTGACACCTGGCCATATTATATTGTTTGATGGCGTTCGTATATTGTCTAGTGTACTCGTATATATATTATATATACACTGCACCGTATTAGTATAGATGCCTGTTTAATATAGCAATTAATACTAGTTGGTATACTAAGTTCGAATCGGGGTCATGATCCACACTGCAGTTGATCCACGACACGTATCACGAGCATGTACAGGTGGGTATATAATAATAATAATTGACTCCATTATTCTTAACTCGGATCAAGCTGTCAACGTTTGCCCAGAGTCAGACAGATGAAAACGTTTCATATTGTTAATCGGAATAATAGTTATAAGTACCTGCAGATACAGATTACAATATATAAAATACAGATCTGCAGCAGAGCCATATCCCATAGACGACCTCTAAAACGTGGGGTGCTATCATACTTCATATTTTAAAAAACATAAAATTGATGGTATTTCACTATAATAATGATGGTTAAACCTAAAAAGCAAGGAGTGCTAAATAGAACTTGGGGGTTGCTAAAGCGGGATTGGTAAATTGAGTCCCAAATGACCCTAACTCGGTAAATTGAGTCCCGGGGAAAAACAGGTAGTAGGTAAGTTAAGTCCCGGAAAAAATAAGGTAGTAGGTAAGTTGAGTCCCGGGGAAATGATTTTTAAATAATAATTATTAATTATATAATAATATTTTTCCCCAACGATACACTCTTAACAACACCAAAGCATTCACATTCAATAAAAGTCCATAACTTTGTAACATCGTACCTTTGGTTAAACACAATTAAGATAGGTACCGATAAGTAAGGACTTGTTCGTACGTATATACTATAATATATAG